GTAAACCCTCTATTTAATTTTTTCTTTATGTTTGATTCTACGTAGTTAAAGTTCTTATGTCATTTGTAAACTTGCGTGATTCAATTTCTTTTAAATTTGTTTTATTGCTTAAGTTCAACAATTTTAATTTTGGAAGTTTAAATCTTTTAAGTTGTTTTAGTTTAAGCGTCTTGATTAATTTGAAGGTTCAAGTTATTTTAAGTTAATTAATTTACTTTAATTTAAATGTCCTAGTTATCTTTAGGTTATTTAATTTAAGCTTTTGAAGTTAATTTTGGTTTTTTAGTTCAAGTATCCAAATTAGCTTGCTGAGGCGTTTGTGTGCTCTAAGTGTCCCATGTGTTCTAAGTGCATAGTTTAAGTTAGCTTAGAATATCTTTAAATGTTTTAAATTATTTTACAAAAATTTTAAAATTATTTTTAATTAATTGTTAAACTTTTTAATGAATATTATTACTATTCTTAAGTTGTTTTAAAATGTTTTAAGTTATGTTTTAAATTATTTTTGATTGATTTTAAATGTTTTTAAATGTTTAAAATTATTTTAAAATTATTTTTTAATATATTTTAAAATTATTTTTTAATATATTTTAAAATTATTTTTAAATTAATGAAAATAATTTTAAAATCATTTATTGATTAGCTTGAAGTTATCTAAAATTTTTAAATTATAAAATCATTTTTTGATTAGCTTGAAGTTATCTAAAATTTTTAAATTATTTTTAAATTATATTTAAAATATTTTGAACTAACTAAGATTGTAAATGACATGTCTTATTAAAATATTTACAAGGAGAATTTACATATGTGAGGTTCCTCCTCCTAATTTTTATCATTTTATTTGTTGACAAATACAAAGAAATTTAAATGACATATTGAAAAAAGTATACATGAAACATGACATACACATAAAAAATGACTGCATATGAAACATAGATTAGGATCAGACTCACGCTCGGTTGGGGTTAGGCTAGGGTTAGACTAGGTTAGGCAAAGTTAGACTAAGTTGGGTTAAGGTTAAGAAAGGTTGGGCTAGTGTCAGGTTGGGTTGGGTTAAGGTCCATGCTAGGTTGGGTTTGGGCTCAATGTACATCGTACATATTGGTGTTGATCAAGATGATCAACACAGTCCACAAACTAATGAGCTTTAATATTCTTTTAAGTTTAGAATTTGAATTAAGGATTGATATTTTGATTCATTTAAAGGTTTAAAGTTTAATTAGATTTATAAGCTTTAATATTTCCTATTGATATAATCCACTAAAGAATCATGTTGGGGATTTTAATTCACTTGAACACATTATGGGGGAAAACCATGTGGATTCACATCCAATCCAAAGAGATGAACAAGGTGATTAGGTCAAAATAGAAAATTATGTAGGTTCACATTTAACCTGATAGCAAATAAAAGGAAGGGCTGATTTAATTATGCTGGTAAAATTGATTCAATTTATTTTATTTTGTTTTATTTAAGTTTGTGTAATGTTATCTTGCTTTATAATGTTTTGTGTTGTGTACCTGAATACATTAGGTAAGGAAAGTGTCAAAACTCACTTTCAATAAATGAGGTACCCATAGGTGACTAGATCAGGATATAAAATATGAGGAGTGGTAATAAACTTGAAAAATTAGTCATGTGGTCAATTTAAAGTAAAAATTTTAGGGACTTCCATTTATAGTAAGAACTGATCCCTCCATCTTATAAGTGAACATTTGGCTTTGGGCTTCTAAGATTGCTTTTGTGGTGTACAAGGACTACACCAAAGAGTAGCTACATGTACTCTCTACTGGATTTACCTAGTCAAGGCATTGAATTATCGAGTCTTATGCAGGGACTGAGGTCAAAGAACCAAAAAGTTTTTTATTTTATTTTTTTGTTAGAGTGTTAAATGGCTAAACTAAGGAAGGTTTCTGATAAGAAATTTTTCTACTCCTAACTTAGTTTTGATTAGCCAAGACATTTTTCACTGTACTTGGAAATATAATAAAAGTAATAAATCTAGTTGCTTTGTGTGGGGCCTTTATTTGGGGTCTTGTCTGAAAATAGTGAACTAATGTCAGTCTATTCCTCTAATCCACTTTAGATAGAGACAACATTTCTGTCTCATGGTGTGCAATGACTGTAATAGGACCCATCCAAGATTTACTTAGCCAAGTGTTGACTTCACTTTTTTTGAGGACTCATTCCATCCGCCTAGACATAACCCTAAACTAGGTTAATACCTTGACCTCACCATTGCAAAATCAAGCCCCTAACCCTTGGTTGAGTGGGTTTAAGGCTTTGACCAGGTGAGAACCTAAAAATAACCACCATAGGCCAAATTGACAAGCAGAGATCAAGCAGGCCCTAGAGCAACCAGATCAATATGAAACCTTAGGAAGTTTCCTGTCTGCCCTAGGTACCCTAAATAAAAATAACCACCATAGGCCAAATTGACAACCAGAGATCAAGTAGGCCCTAGAGCAACCAGATCAATATGAAACTTTAGGAAGTTTCCTGTCTGCCCTAGGTACCCTAAATTAATTTGAAACCCTAAAAACTTACCTAGAAACTCTAGGAACCACCCTGCTCACCAAATCCACCCTACAAGAAGGATCTCCTGCCCAACCCTACTAAAAACTTACCTAGAAACTCTAGGAACCACTCTGCTCACCAAATCCACCCTACAAGAAGGATCTCCTGCCCAACCCTATCAAATCCTAAAAATCAGACCAAAAACCCTAATGTAGCCTTTTGAACCCTAACCCTAAAAATCAGACTAAAAATGAATTAGGCCTAACCCTAAGTTAGTCAATTTTTGACCAAATTGACCATTTCAAATTCCCCATCCATTCCTTAACCATATGGTCAACATTGGACCATATGGCCAATCATATGGTCAAATGATCAACCTTAGACCACTATGGTCAAGCCATGGATCAAATGGTCAACAAATGGTCATATGGTCAACTTTTCATTCTTCTAATTAATTAATTAATTAATTTAGGACCCATTAGGCTTAGATTTTTGAACCCCAAAGCTTAAGTCCAAGACCTTAACCCTAAATTTAAAACCCATGAGTCAAATCGATGGCCCAAGCCCATGAGCCAAGCCCATGGCCCAATATTAAATAGGTCATCCATAACCCTAAACAACCCATCAACAATATAATATATGACCTGTATCTTAATAAATTCAAATAAAACCAAAACCAAAAATAAAAAAGAGAAAGGATACAAAAGCCACCACCCCCTTTATACACTTGGCCCCATAGTCCACTTAACCCATATCTCTTAATACTTGGCTCAAGATAGACCTCTGCCAAGCCCAACAAACCCCACCTAGGCTCTCCCCAATGTCTTCAAGCCATGAACTCTCTCTCTCCCCTACCATTGGAGCTTTCAAAGTCAAAGCTTTCAAAGATAGGAATTGCCACTCGAACTTCTCTCCATGCCTCTGCAAACCCTCTGAAAAGTCACAAGTATCTCATCAGGCCAATTTTGGCCACTTCTATGCCATCCTATGGCCATTAAATGGAGGAACCCCACAGTCATAGGAGAGATGAAAGCACTTCTTACTGTCTTTCAACCCTTAGAATCTCAACACAAAAAGCATTAAAACCACCCTCCTTTCAGCCCACCAACCCCAATAAGAAACCCTAAATTTGCCTTTGAAAACTAAATAAAATTTGGGTGTGACATAAAACTTACAAAAACTTCAAACTAACTTTTTCAAAAGCTTCCCTAAGCTCCACGAAGACAATCCCAATCAAAATTAAGTGTCCACGAGCCCTCTATGGTTTTGAAACAGATTTCATACCCATAGAGATGTGCACGTTGAGAAGTTCATTCTCTTGGTAATGAGGTTTATTTTAGGAAACTTCAAGGACTTTGAAGTAACCAAATCATGCTCTTGAGTTTATAATCATTGTGTCGAGATGATTTCAATAGTTATGTGTGTTTTACCATCTTGAAACCAACCTAGAAGAGATGAATATGTTTTACGTGTGATTTTTTTTCCATTGCATGGGTTAGGCTTTGCATTTCAAAAAAATGATGAGTAAATGTACATGTTTTTATGCGCTTACATTTTAAATTGTAAGTTAGTATATTTTATTGACATGAATATGTGTTGTTGTTTCTGTTGCTTGTAAGTTTACACACTCAATCATAAATCATTCCATAATAGCAGTAACGTAATATTTGCATCTCTTTGTGGTCTTCTTCATCTTAGGATGGTTATTTTTTTATTTACTTCATCTTGTTTGACATATTATTAGTTCTTCATTAGTACATATTAGTGTGAAAACTAATCAATCACTTTATCATATAGTTTCTCTCTCTATTAACATTGCATCCTATAAAGGCTAAATATGAAAATCTTATAAGATCAAAAGAATTATTATTAAGATACTAAATATTAAATGTATTTATCACATATGCATTATTATTTATTTCTTATCTGAGTGCATTTATTTTCCTAGCTCTTAAAATGAGTCTCTAATAATCTATAATTTATATTGACTAGTTACACAGTTCCACTTTCCATCGAGGTGCTCCTCTTTATCCTTCAGTTCTAAATCTTAATAATAAATTCCAAATCATTTATTTAGAATTACATTGGGAACTGTATATGCATCAAGTTATTTTTCCTGGAAAAATCCCCTCCACAGAAGAAACATTCTATGTTGCTACAATGTAATCCTCCAATCTCCACAGCTGCTTCCATTTCCCTAACTATCTTCTCTTGTGTTTTCGCTCCCTTCATGCTCCAGAATTACAATCATTTACATCTCAAACCAATACAAACAAAAATATAATTTTCGACATTCCTACCACATTCAAAACATCTCATGCATCTCCTGCCAAAGCTCTCATATCAACCCCACAACAACATTCGATACGTGTAAAGTTTTCAAAACAACCCATACAGCCCTTGCCAATGGTTTCAAATGCTCAGTATTGACACAATGACATTTAATATTAGATTTTATTAATTTGACTCTTATGTGAACTCTTACCTTCTATTTGTCAAAACCCAACAAATTTGATTATTAAAACAAAAATAACATTTAATAGGTTTACAATAAAGAAAAACTTACCAACTAAACTACATGAAATTATTACATATCTTGATATTAAAATACAGATGCAGCAAAAATGCGCTTCTAACTGAATGTACCTCTGAGAAAAACATCTCATCTCACTCCTTGGAAACTTTTAATAGTTCATGGAATGCCTCTTGAGGTATATCAACAGAGCCCACCCGCTTCATGCGCTTCTTTCCTTCCTTCTGTTTTTCTAAAAGCTTCCTCTTTCTGGTAACATCACCACCATAGCATTTTGCCAAAACGTTCTTTCTCATGGCTGAGATGCTGCAAATAAGAATTTAATCAGAAAGTGATAGTGGGTGGCATCTTTACACTTGAGTTACCGAGAGGTTAGGTTTCAAGATTAACAAATCACAATGAAGATAACTGTGCGCTTTCTGCTTTATGTAGCAAATAAAAACAGCACAGGCACAGCCTGCTATTAGAGGTTTACAGAACCATAGACTACAAATATGTATCTTTTTTATAAATGTAGCAGAAGAACTATAATATATGTAACTGTGCGTGCGCACGCGAGACATAGAGAGAGAGAGAGGAGAGAGAGAGAGAGAGAGAGTTGGTGGCCAATCGAGAATGATAGGAACCATCACTCTATCCCATATAAATTTTAAAGTTAAATGCTTGGGCATTCGAAAACAAAGATTTTAAACAAGAAGTTGAGCAATAAGCTATAATTTAACTGAAGATGAAAAAAATTTGTGCTTCATGATGTGACCAAATATAGTTTTACGCTTTCTCAGTAAATGATATAAAAATACCTTAAATTATTTGATTAAAAATAGGAATTCATAAAAACTAGAATAGACATATTACGTCTCACGGGCGATGACCCTTGAACCAATTGCAGCTTGTATTGTGATCTCAAACATCTGCCTGCAAAGAGTAGCATGAACAAAAATTAAGCACAAAAAAATTACATGATAATACATAATAAAAGGAGTAAAGAGTAAAATGATCACCTGTCAATGAATTTCTTTAACTTCTCCACCAGTTCACGCCCAACTCTTTGTGCTTTCAGGCTATGAACAATAGTTGCCATTGCATCTACAGCTTGGCCATTCAAGAGGATATCAAGTTTAACTAAATCAGATTTTTGATACCTGAAACCCATAGTCATAACACAACATTATTGCATTCCATATAACTTGTGATACAAGAGAATAACAGCTAACCAGCATGAAGCCGAGACATAGAATTCATAAATGCAAAAGTGTAAACATTCATAGGAACTGATTAGTCTGCATTTTTGGGGACAGACATTTGAAAAAAGGGCACCCACTTCCTGGCATTCCTATAAGAATTTTCGTTGTAGTCTAAGGGTCTATTTGGGGCAGTTGTAGATATTAGTAAATGTAGTTGTAAAGTTATTATTGGAACATAATTTTTTTTTGAAGTTGTAATGAGTATTATAAATATTTTCTTTTTATAATATGTCTGACAACAATTTCTGATAGTTACTACACATTAGAAGATCTGATTTTATTAAGTAGCTTCCCTTCATAAAAAATTCTCAAAAGTAATAAGAAAATAAAAGTGTGGCTGTGGTCTGAAAAGGCAAAATAGAGAAAAAGGCTATCTCAAACAAGACCTAAATATCCTTTTATAAATCACCAGATAAAGCTCCACAGCTTTTAACTTACCCTAAAAATCCTTTTATACATCACAAAATAAACCTCCTCATCTTTCAAATTCTTCTTTCATGTTCCTTCCACTGACAATACCAACCACAACTATTAGCTTACCAATCAATTCAAAAAAACTATAATCAACTTCAGTTGTGAATATTTCTTAAATAGGCTCTTGCAACATCCCAGTAGTCATTCAACATTATGGGAATACCTACCAGCAAGAGATAACTCACAAAACTCTTTTCCACACTTCCTAGTTTATTGATGAGAAGCATGCAGCTTCCAGGTTTTTGCGTCTTCTTGCCTGAATGAGGGACTTTCGCAACGTGCAAATTTTGTGATTTGCACGAGTGTGTGCGGTAAGGGTCTTCACAGAGTGCGGCTTTTGGATGAGTGGGTCTTCTTTTTGGTTTTTATTGTGTGCAATGGGCTCAAGAAGGTGAATTTGTCCATCATCTTACATAGACGAGGGAGTATTGATAAAGAGAATCTTAGAAGAGAATAGTTGTACAATAAACACGAGCAAGCAACAAATAACATAGATAATGAGCACAGGGACCATGAATGTAGCATGCACAATGTTGATAGCAAGGGAAGTGGTTGTTGGCAAACAAGGAGAAAAGATGGCAGTTATAAACGACTTCCTCAACACGATATTAGGAGAGTTCTACTTTTGCTGTGTTAAAAAAATTTTGAAATTTCACAAACAAAAAAATAATACTTTAGGAGTAGTTTGGAATCATTTTTATTTTTTTTATTTTTAGCTTTTATTTTATTTTGTTTATATTTTGATTTAAATTAGTTGAAATAGTTATTTTTAAAAATACTCCAAACATCATTTAGAATTTTGAGTGTTTTTAAAACTAAGTTGATTTCTTTTTAAAATAAAATATAAAAAAGATGTTTATATCAAAAAAATAAGGGAAAAAAAAACAAAAGTGATACCAAATGGGGCTTAAAAATTTTTGGAACTTAAAAGTAGCACGCAACATGCATATTGCATCTTCTGTTTCATTATAATGCACTCTTAATGACCCAAGTAAATGAAAATTGCATAAAAGGTACTAAAAGGTAAAAGAAACTCATCCAATGATATCCAATAAAGACCTCAATGGTATACACTTTTTTTTTTTTTTTTTGCATAAACAAAAACATGGTAGCAACCAACAATACAATCATGTTTGTATGACACATGATACTAAATAATTAAGTTTTAGGCTCTTAGGGCTTAAAAATAATTTGAATATGGGCTTTTTAAATTTAAGCTCTTAGGGTTTTAAAAAGTTTGGAATTTTTAGGATTTTGGGCTTTGAAATTTAGGCTCTTCCATTTTAAAAGTCTTTGAAATTTTGGCTTTTAAAATTCATATTTAACATCTTAAGGATTAAAAATAATTAAAATATGTCGATTTTGAAATTTGAACACTCGCTACCATATTCGCATACAACTGTTAGTGAATAGAATTTGAATCTATTAAAACCCAAAATGAAACCTTATACGCATTCCAAAATCTAATGTTCACTTAAAATTTCAAAATTTTGAATGTAATTCATGAACTTTAAGATAATGTATAATTTAAATGCAATTCCTTGGGATTTAAGCAAGCACATTACAATTTCTCAAATAGTTATGTGAGTGCTTTCGAGTTATTTAAATGTATTAGGAAGCATGCAAGTTCATCATGTGATGCTTTGAAAAAATGTCGAGTATTTTTTTAAATATTCAAGTATATGAAATTTAAAATACCCGCATGGGCTCCAGTTAAAATTCTAAATATTTTAACAAATGGATTAGGAATGCTTCACGGGTTTTGAATAAAATTCACTTTGATCAATTACTTTTTTTGAAAATTTGTCAATCAAACCGCTCTGTTTATAGAACACAGTTGTAAGTCTCACTCAACTAGCCCGATCATCCTCCTTTTTAAGGATTGGAGTTGACAAGTTTAGTAAATTTCAATAATATTTTAATCACATATATAAAATTTGCAAGTTTAAATCATAGTCTGATCATCCTCATCGGAACTAGCATCGACAAAACTAATATTCTAAAAATATTAGACAAATAATTCAAGTGAATCTTAAACAATAAAGTTCTAAATGTCAAATCCCCGATCATAGTCATATTGATTGATTTTTTTTTAATCAATTTTTCAAAGTAACCAACCCAGATACTCAAATGAATCACTTAAAAAACTTAAAACAAATTTTATCCACCTTCTGCAACAGTTTGTCAGAAATGACAAACTTTTTATTAATTTCAGCTCACAAAGAGCGAATTTTACATTGAGTGTATCACTTTTATACTCAAAGTAATTTCATACAAAGGCATGACCCGAGTTTTTTGTCTACATGGTTTGGCCTAAAGGCTCCACAAAACAAAACGCTTATGATAGAACCCTCTAATCAGGTGATTTTCGCCAAATAACACCATTATGTTACGGTCACAACCACGGCCTATATGTTTCTTAAAAGCTTTCCACCCTTTTGAGTTGTGAACCATAAGACACATTTGATTGGCACAAAGTTTTTTGTCAACTAAGGTAGACTTAAATTTGTCCCCTTTGACAAAAATCCACTATAAATCTACAAAAATTCCTTTGACGGCGCAACCCATAATTGCAGATAATGAACTTTTAGTCGAGTTCGGTCAACAACCTCCTCTGACGGGATCATGACAATCAGGAATGATGGAACCATAAGATCTTGATCAAGTTTGTCATTAATTTCCCCACCATTTTCTTTAAGGTTAATGTGATAAATTTTATTGTCTAAAACCCTAAATTTGCGGCAACTATATGCTAAATATTTAGTACTTAATGACTAGCCTTAATTCAAAGTGTTATCTTGTTATCAGGAGCAAGCAACTATAGAGGCTTTCGCCTATGGGAGACCTCAAAACCTATATCAAAATTTCTTCGCAAAGTGAGGGTGAAATCTCTAGGTAGTATCTTATATACAATCCAGTTTATCTTCTACAATTTGATCATACAAAGCCCTCAACAAAGCAGAGACTCTGGGATGTCGAATCTTTCGAAGCCCGCAATAACCTATTAGTGGTTTGGTTAATAAAAATGTTGCTTCGCTCTGCGCTTAGTGCATTAAAGCAAAAAGAAAGCCTTTCGTATTACATTGCGCTGCACTTTGATAACACTGACTTAAAGCTACTTATAAGCACCAAGCAAAGAAAAGAAAATCTTATGCCAAAATGTTTCATTTATTAATGGCAACTACAAAGCATTTTAAGTCATGTTCATAATCACATGACTCTTGGGCTAAAATTTTTAAGAGGAAAAAAGTGGAAGGAAAAATATAAGGAACAGGGAATTGGTGGGCATGTAAAAAAGAATTCCAAACACTTTTCTAATTCTTCTTACATTCAAAAACATAACCAAGCCAAACATGTATGTCCATAGGTGGAAAATAAAAATGCAAAAAAAACAATAAAAATACAAATTACATTTAAAATATTTAAAATTTGGGACTCTATATTAAGATTTTAATTGCGCTCTTAAGAATTTTTTGTCCTAGATCGTGTATTTATAATTTTAATTAGGTTTTTAGCTCAATTATCTTAGTACACATGATGTCCTGCATCACCAAGCTGTTCAAAAATATTTATTAAATATTTTGAATATTTAAAAAAATATTCAATTTTGTTCAATTAGTTGATTAAAAAATCATGCACAAACTCTAAGTTAAGCGGTGAGTAGTTGAGTGTATTGCTTCCTTTGTAGCCATAATCATTAGCATCTACCAAGCACCCAAATCTCTCGTGTTCTTGATGCATCACAAAAGTTCTGCCTAACAAAACTACCGATCACATTATTTAGCAAATTGACTAACCATGGTTGCGTAAATCCAACCAGACATCTGGATTATCATATTATCATCCAACTTCAAAATTTAAATAAAAAAATAATTAACAATTATGTATCATAGTTATTAATACTTCAGAAAAGGGAAAAAATTAATTTAACTGGTCATTCAATCACAATAAAAAAGATAAATCTACAACTTATTTGTTGATATCATTGAAATGCTATGGCCCCATTCTATCACTTCGTATCACGTAATGGAGCATTCTGGCTCAATGCTTTCTCCAAGCAAATTGAGCTTAAATAGCAGCAGCGTCAACTCTATACAGACAAGGTTATCAAAGAATGTGGGATGAGAAGCTTCTTCTTCCTCACATTGATTTAGTAGTTTGTAAATTTGATGAACCTTTTCCGTTACAAAATATCATTGTAAAATTTAAGAGGAATTGCATGGTACAGCATCAATATTATTGTATGTATTTTATGAAGCTATAATAAAATGTTGGTTTTTTTTTCTCTTTTGGTTTGCACTAGAAATTCCATCTTCCACAAACTAAATAACTTAGTATCATATGTTAAAGAGAAACAGCACTGTACAAATATTAGTTGGACATATTAGTGACATACTCTGCATCTTCATAGTCAAAAGAAGCATATCCAGAGGTTATACTTTTCAATTCGTTGTAGAAATCAACAACAATTTCCCTCAGTGGAAGTTGATATTTCATGAGCGCCCTCTGACTGCATGACCAAAAAAGAACATCAACTTGGAGCATTGTTTATTTCAAGAAAAAGACCCATTGTATGGGCGAGAGGCACCTGTCAATAAATGAATATTCAAGCTGATCTCCTCTCCTTTCTGAGCATAGTGTAATGACAGGTCCTATGTATCTGAAAGTACATTTGGTAACACTGAATGATCGAATACTGATTTTACTTTCAGGTAGACTGCTATGGAAAAAAGTTAAGGAAATACCATACATAAAAGAACAACGAACTTACTCACTAGGAATGATTATAGTTGCAATGACTGATGGTTCCCAACATGCAGTAACACTCTTCCCAGGGTTTGCAGCTAATGCAGCAGGATTCTGAACCTGCACCTTACTAAACACACAAAAGTATCAAATTCAATCTATTCAACGTCAAGTACACTGTTCATTATGGTACTGTCATACCTCCCATCTGAATACTCAAAAATATATGGCACAGTTGGTATGGTAGATAACACTTTTGCACCATATTCCTGCACGATATTGATATAAATATTACAATTTAGTACAAAGAAAGATTTGCTGCCGTCAGATCTGCTGTGTCTATTTCAACTCAAAACAGAAACACAAAGGAACGAACAGGTGCCCACACACCCAGAACACATAAATAAGTTGTAACAACAACAGCTAATACTAAAACCAAATAAATATGGAAGAAAAAAAAGAGGGAAGGAGTCTATATACTTGCTCAAGCCGTTGATGAAAGACATCCATATGAAGTAAACCCAGGAAGCCACATCTGTTATTGTAATAAACAGGCATATACTATAAAATTGGTATCGATTGGTAGTAAAATAAAATAATGAAGATAATGAAATTGAAAAAAATCTAAGATTAATATCTCATGCCGGGAAAGATCTGTTGAAGCCACTAGAGGTATCTATACCTGAATCCCATGCCAAGTGCTGTACTAGTCTCTTTGGTCACAGAAACACTAGCATCATTGCAAATCAATCTCTCTATTGCATGGTTGAGAGCATCAAAATCTGATCCATCAGCTGGATAAAGGCCAGAGAAAACCATGTGTTTTGCAGGCTTGAAACCTGAATGATCATAAAACATATTATTCGCAATCATAAAAGAGAGATCTTTTATGAGATTAGCCAAGCATGAGATTAATAATGAGCTAATATTGCCAGGCAAGGTAACATATAGATTATTTTAGCATGAAGGTGCATTTGAAAACTCAAAGCAAGATCACAAGAAATAATCTTTACATGATTTGCAGTGAAAAGGAGGGAATATGAAAAAATACCAGGAAGGGGCAATACAATGCTTTTGGCTAGATGAAGTGTATCACCAATACGTGCCTCTTTTGTTGAGCGCATTCCACTAACAATATAGCCAACTTGACCAGTAAAAAGAACTCCAGTTGGGGTAAGTTCAGGATGCATGATTCCAATATCAGAAACCTCATAAGCTTGACCGGTTGCTGAAGAGGCAATTTTATCACCTTTATGAAGAGCCCCGTCAACAACAGCAACATGGCATATTACTCCTTTATATTCGTCATAATAAGAATCTAATAGAAGCATCCTTAAAGGTGAATCACACTTCCCGGGAGGAGAAGGTATGCGGTCTATCACAGCAGGTAGGACATGCTCAAGACCCTGGCCTGTTTTAGCAGAAGTTAGAAGAGCATGATTTGAATCCAGATCAAATAAGGAACTCAGCTGAGCCTTTACACGATCTGGATTTGCAGTAGGCTGATCAATCTTGTTTATAACAGGGATAATTGCCAAGTTAGATTCAAAAGCAAGATAAAAGTTGGCTACTGTTTGAGCTTGGACACCTTGCGCAGCGTCAACCACTAGTAAAACACCCTGGCAAGCTGCAAGTGATCTAGATACCTCGTAGCTAAAATCAACATGACCAGGAGTGTCGATAAGATTCAACAGATATTTTGGTGCATCTTCTATTTCAGTCACCTCATCCTTCTGATGTTTATGCCTAAAGAACATTGTAGCTGTCTGAGCTTTGACCGTAATACCCCTTTCTCGTTCAACCTGTGAACATATGATGTGGATTCATATAAGCTTGTAGCAGAGGGTCCACTATAAGAAACAAAAATTGTGCACCCATATGCACACAAACATGGAAATTATAGGTCGCATTTTCATTAGAAAGTTGGTGACCCAAGAAATATGACTGCCATTTACCAACCACATATATCATCTACCAGTCTACATGTCACGAGTGTTAGGCTGGCTTAAAGATAAAACTATGACAACCAGAAGCATGGTATTTTTCCTTATGTTCCCTTTATTTCCTTTTTTAGCGTCTTTCTCCTATCACAGTTGAAGAAGTTGCTTTTATTTGTGTTTGGTTTGCCCAACAACCTAAAAGAATTCTTCTGGGCCAATAAAGCTATTCAATTTCAAAGCAGACACCACTTGGCTTCTCCTATCACAAAATATGAATTTTGCAGCTCTTGCCTATCTGAAAATCCATAATTGTCATTAGATATTCAACAGAATTACGCGTGTATATATTACAGAAAAAAGTCCTAATTCCTCCTCAGTTTTAATACCATACACTGCACTGCACACTTGCACAATGCAGTGGCTATCGCACTCCCACAGCTGAGTTCTTCTCAATTCCTTATCCCACGGCTGAACCTCCAACAGACTGGTTCTCCTGCAGACCGCAGCTCTACAGCTGTCAACTTCTATCCCAGGTGTTTGGTTCTTCAAATCACCATAAGAAGGTAGATCTCTTTACAGACTACCTCTCTGTGAACTGCATTTTCTCTGCAAATCATAGATATATCTCATGCATCTCAAATAACTACAGAGTATTCATACGTGAAAAATAAAGTGCAAAGTTTTTTTAGTTGTTTTTCGACCAAGCGAAGAAAAACTCTGTTTATCTTCATTCAAGCAAACGCATCAAACAATGATATGAGCAAAATTCATCTGTTTTTAACTGTTGGTTTTTGTTTTATAATTCTAGTAGTTTGGACCATGTCTGTGATGATAGCCTAAAATCTACAAAGGGTATATTTTGATCAAGTAGTTTGGATGTGGTTATTTTAAATTTAGAAAAATAAAAGAATAAGTGATGGCTCATTATTTTGGAATTAATTGCAGTTATATTTTATTAACTATAACTATCCCTTAAATCTACAAATGAACGTAGAAGTTGTGAAATCTACCGTTTACTAGTTTTCTTGTTCCTATTTTTATGGTTTATGTAGATTTAACTTTGCTATGGATTTTGGTTGTTATTTACAATGTAGTTATTAGAAGTGGTGGCTTTCATTGTTCACAAGCCTGCATCGAGACATACGGTTCTTAAAAAAGAATTTAAAATAAAATTAATCAATGCAGGATTGCATGGGGGCTGTATTCAGCAAATTTTAAATCAGATATGACTACAGGTTTTGAGATATAATAAAAATTTAAATTTCAGAATTTTGCAACCCAACAGAACTATTTTCATTTCATTAACAGCTACTAGGCTAGGAATATGAAAAATCTATTATTTAAGAAAAAGCATGAAATTAGAGTGACTTTAGCCTTGAATTAAACTTTTCTTACAGGTTTCAACCTTGTAAGTACAAGATAATGTTTCACTCTTTTAAACGTGATACGTGTGCCACTTCCTGATTCAGACGAAAGTCATCATCTTATACCAAAGTGAGAAGCATAATTTTTCATTACTGGCTAGTTTAGTGCTGTTAATTTTCGTTAAAATTGATACAATTAAAATATAAATTTTGCAGGGAAAAAGTTTTATTTTACAGCTGATTTTATTTGTTTCCAAATTCCTATTTTACAGCCACGGTCCCATCTGACTTATATTTAGTGCAATAAGTCCACCGGCATCCATGGATTGGCTGATCCACAGGTGGTAGAACGAGAAACCAAGTATCCAGGGCCTGGAAAGCAAAGAACCCTTCATTCATAACTGACCTCTAGTGGGCATGCTTAGCAGCTTGTGTGTACGTTGTAAGATCGGGAGGGTGCTTGAGTTGCTGGAGGAGGTTGAGCTTGGTAACAGATTTCAGGTGACCGGTTTGGCTTCGGGTAACAATGTGGGGGGACCGAATGGGGTGCTCGGATGGTAGAGATGTTGGAAGAACGAGAGATTGGTTCGGTGGTGGAGGGAGTGATGTGTCGCATGGGCTTGAGGATGGTGATGGGGAGGGTACATTTGAGGGGACAAGAAGTAAAGAATTTGTTGTGGGTGAAGGATGTGGTACGAAGGTAGGCAAGGTAGACAGTGATTGGTATGGGAAGACATGCTCGTCAAAAGTTACATGGTGGGAAATAAATAGTTTTTCAGAAGTGAGTTGGTAGCACTTGTAGCCCTATGATTAGATGAGTACCAGAGAAATATACGTGTGGTTATAGCCATGGGTACACCGACATCCAAACACTTTGAGGTGGGAACAAGTAGGTTGATGATTGTAGAGAAGTTCGTAAAGAGATTTATGATTGATATTTTTAATTGGCATTCTATCAATGAGATATATTGTCGCGAGGAAGATGTCCACCCAGAGAGTAGAGGGGAGAGAGGCATCATGGAGATAAGTTTGTCTAGTTTCAATGAGATGCCTATGTTTGCGTTCCGCAACACCATTCTATTTGGGGGTGTGGGGAAACGAGAATTAATGAAAAATAACATTGTGTTATAAGAGTTTTGAAGTAAGCTACTTTAGTATTCACCCCCATTATCAGATTGAAGTATACAAACAGTAGTATTAAATTGAATGTGAAGCATTTTAATAAAGTAAATACATTTATGGGTAGATTCAGGTTTGTTTATCATGGAAAACACCCAACAAAAAAGCAAAAAATCATCAATAAGAAGTTGTTAATATTTATAGCCTTGAGTAGATGAAATTGGGGTTGGACCCCAAACATCAAACATCGAAATGTAATAAATGCAAAGCAGCATATGTATGTAAAGAAAGAAGAGAAAAAGGTATGTTATTGCTTTTATTGCAAGTGCAACTATTACATATAGAGGTTTGTGTTGCTATATGTAAGCTAGGTTGACTCTTGGAGACGAGCGTAAAAAACATTTGAATGTGGATGCCCAAGACGTTTCTACCAGAAGATGGACTTCTTTGTAGAGGTAACAAGAGCATGAATGGGATGCAAATGAGAGGTCATCAGATATAAGCCCTCAGTATTGATTCCTCGGAGTAAAGATAGCTTCGTCTTGTGATCAAAGATGGTAAAGACATTCAGATCAAAAACAATAGCAACATTGTTGTCATGAATTAATTTATGGACAGATAATAAATTGTGAGAAAGAGATGGAACATGCCATATTTGGGGTAGGAGAAACTTACGGTGTGATGTCGGAAGGATGCCATCACCCGGATGTGCTACCGGAACGGATTGTTTGATGCCCACCGTGACTTGTTCGGAACCTGTTGCCAAAGTAACAAGTTGTAGGTGATTGAGATCGGAGGTAAAATGTGTTGTAGCGCCGGAATCCAGAAGCCACGGTAAGGTGGGGCTTGCAAGGCTTGTTTAGTAGGTATGTACTCAAGATTAGAGTGGTTGTTGGCTTGATTTTTAATCTAGTAATCTATGAATACTCAATTTTCTATTGCATAAAAGCACACTACGCATCGTATTATTTAACCGGGTCACCTTATCCTTGAGTCATCCTGCATCACGAAGTTTTGAATAATTCTACTACAAAATTTTGAGCTTGTGATTACCTTCTTATTTTAAGATCTGCAGTCCTATGTGCTATTTTACATGATTGTATATGTTTATTAATACTCTGCTTGGTTAACATAGTAATGTGGATATGGTTCACGCCCAAAAATGATATGGTAGAAAATTACATTTATATGATGAATTATAGTTTTGTTCACTTGCTTGCACTTATAGATGGATAAAACAAGAAAAGTCGGTTCATCCTTTCGGTGCAATTTGGAGACCACATTAAAAAATTGCAGCATTTTTTTCATAGGGATTCATGGGAGATCAATCTAGAACTCATTCCTTATCAAGAATATTTTTGAGAGGACAAAATGGGAGATAGATAAGACTAAGAAAAAAAATTGGGGCCGATTATATGAGTGGAAGTTATGAAGTGAGCTAAAGTATTAGTCAACTTGACTAAGATGGGATACTAGAAAGAAAATAAAGATGAAATACGAGAATTGCTGAAGGGTATATTAGGTGATGCGTTTATAAGATGCATTTAGAGTCATATAAATCATACTTTTTTTATCTATTTTATTACTTTAACCATCAGGTTATTTCAATAACTAATACTTTCAAAATAATGAAATTTGCCTAGAGCAAAAGGAAAAACTCATAAATATGCTTGGTAAATAGTGCCAAAAAAGACTTGGCTTTGGACTAATCTAGGAGTGCTTGCAAGTGTGTGTGTGTGTGTGCAAGCACTTCAAGAACAAATCCATGAAAATACTCTTCCCATCCCGTCACTATCTATTTTCGCGAAGGAAGTTGGAGTGCAAAAAAGAACTGCGACTTCTGCTCTCATGTACTACCATTTTTATTGGAAACAACGGAAAGAAAACAGAAGGAAATGAAAAAAGAAAAAGAAGGAAGAAACATAAAAGACGGAAAATTTTGAGGGGAGAAATAGTTATTTTGAGGTAAGATTTAGGTTTAGATATTGTTTCTTAAGTAATATATATATATATATATAT